GTATTACTCAATCAGGTAAGTAGGTTTACCAGTTCTCTTTTTCCCTCAAGGCCTCATTCAGCCTTCACGGCCTCATTCAGCCTACCCACCTCCCAAAGTGGGTTCTACACTTCAAACGAACCAGGTCTGAGATTCCTCACTACGATCAGAACATCAGCTACTCAAACCTACACTCCACCTCGCTACTACTTATTTAACCGTACATTTCTTGTCTATTGTTTCTACATTTCTTCACTCAAACCTGTATCATTACAGTAGTTTCACCAAGTTACACGGCATCAACCACCAATGAGACTACCTGGTTCCCTGCATTTCAGTTACAGGTATTGTAAATCTAACTCACTATGATTACGTTTCTCCTCAAGGCCTCACTTCGCCTTCATATCATGTAAACGTCACAATCGTGAGAACCCCGGGGGGCTTGTCTCTACTTACGGACCTACGTTCAGGTCCCTCATCGTACACGGGTTCCTACGTCACATTTAATTATTACACTTTACCCATACGTTTGATTTTTTTTTTTTACATTTGGCATACTAGAGGCACGACTCAGGCCCTCTAGCATCTACATTTCCCTTTGGATATCTTAACCGGACCAGTTCCCTGCGGAAGCAAAAATATATATCAAAATCCTCCTGCGTATTGACCAAAGAAAAAGGACAATACTCAAGGTTAAGTATATACATACGTTTAATTACACCATTCTAAGAGACAAGCCCCATTAGGCTAGTGAACTGGCATTGAGGGTTAGGCGCTGGCTTTAGCTACCCTAAGTAATACTATGGTCCCGCGAGGTCTACACCCCCACCTCATACACGGAGGTTCAGCCCCACGACCAAATCATAGTTAGCTACCTCGTTCGCCCTTCTTTAGGGCTACAGCTTGGGCTTCCCAAGTCACGGCCACACGTTTTGAATCTCTTACGGTCACCGCAGTTACATCTATACCTCAATCAGAGTAAAAGCTCCTTACAAGCTTTCAGTACCCACGCTGTATAAACTTGCATAAAGTGTGTTTTCTTTGAATCCTCTTTTTGCCCTCTTTCACAGGCCTTCTCGTAAGTTGGTTTTGGCACACCTCAACCAACTTTGCTTCTCCTTCTACATTCCATTACGTATTAGATAAATTCTGAGCACAAGTTGGAAGGCCATTTGGCCTGAATTTCTGGGAGGAGTTATGATCCTATATAAACCCTACCCCCCCCTACTTACCTTTGTCATTCAAGCTGTTTGTCCCCACCCACCTACACCCATCTATATTAACAATTCACCTTTGTGGGCCCTCTTTTACAGGCCTACGCGGATGTTGGTTTCGGCATACCTCAACCAACTTTGCTTCTCCTTCTACATTCCAGTATGTATTAGATAAATTCCGAGCACAAATAATATGCTTCTACAAAAGAATGACATTAAGGTAAAAAAGAGGGGCAGAAGGATTTGGGCTCAAAATAGGGACTCCTCGTCCTAAATAGGGACACTTTGGAGACATGCAATTAATAAAAGGACAATTAGAGTATTGAAGTCTTTTTTTTTTCTTGAAGAGGTGAAGTTGATTCTGGTGGTGTCTTTTTTGTCCTTTACATGTTTTTATATATACTGTTATATATATATACACACACATTTCTTTATTTTCATATTGGCAAGACAACATGCGATAATAGTACACTGTGCTACTGCACTGTGGTGCATGCAACGAGAATAGGAAGTATGTATATATGATATATACATCATCAAGTGTCGCAGTACCCATACAATATTCAGTACATAATTGTGTGTACATTTTGTTGGCAATAGGCATTTACATTGTGTATAATGCATAGTTATCCACCAATAAATTTGAACGTTTAACACGGAAACATAAAAAGAGAACTAACACAAGGGCAAGGCATGCATGTAAGTGGTACATCGTGATAGGTTACCAGTGCACTCTCAAGCTGGGGTGCTGCTCCGCCATCCCATGCGTTGAAAAATCTGCGCTATGAAGCCTCCCACCTTTTGCCAGAAGGACTTTTGCGACTGGGCAGTCCCACCACATGTGGATATATGTACATTTGTTACCGAAATCCATCCAGCAAAGGTCATTTGGTGTTTTGCCCATACGGTATAGCTGTATCGTTGTCGTATAGTGTACCACCGAAACATCGTCTTATATGTTTGTTCCTGAAGTGATGTGCAAATCGAGACCGCTGTATTAGCTTCCCAGATGTCCTGCCAGTCTGTTCCCTCTAAAGTTTCCCCCAGGTCAGTCTCCCATTGCTCCACACATGTTAGTTGCCCTGTTCCGTAGTATTGGATGCTATATGTGTGTATAGTGAAGAGATCAAACCCCTATGGTTCAGCTCCTAAAGACACATGTGTTCAAGTCCTGTCATCCATTTTTTCATAATTTCTTGTATCCGAGATTGGCTTACAAAATCTTTAAGCTGTATATATCGAAAGAAATATCCTGGTTTAGGAGTTCATCAAACGAGACCACTCTGTTTCCGGCACTCATGTGGCAGAGTCTTTGAAGCCCAGTGTGTTCTAAGTTTTTGAAGTCTCTGGCCTTCATCCCGGGAAGAAAGACCCTATTTCTGAGTAAGGGTAGCATTGGGGAGGGGAGTGTTATTAAACCAAATTTTTGTGCATATTTGTCACAGATACTTATGGAATTCAGAGCTGCTGGGAACTCCGCACGCAGGATTGCCCTATGTTCTTTGGGCAGCCTTATATACATTGGGTTAAATCCGACCCCATAAAAAGGGATTCCAAATCCACCAATTTTCTCTCATCCGGGGGTGAGTGCCACATTGCTACTTGTGAGATTTGGCAATCCCAAACTTCCGGTGGCTTTTGTATGTTTTGTATGTTGCAAGATATCCTGTGTCGTTTGTTGCGCCATATAAATTCTCCAATTGCTTTCTGCAGTGGTGTGAGATCAGATTTTGTGACGGGGATCGGGATGGCCTGGAACAGAAAGAGGATACGAGGGAGCACATTCATTTTCACAGAGGGTATTCTGCCACCCATTTATCTAAGTCCTTTATTAGGGTTTTGAACATGGATACGTAATTTTGTGTGTACAATTGGGATGGGTCGGCTGTCAATCGCACCCCTAGGTATTTGATAGCTATGCGATGGATTTGGATGTGATGTGTTGTGGTGATAATTGTCGTATCAGTATCGGTCATGTTGAGTGGAAGGGCACTAGACTTGCCAAGGTTGACTTAGTAACCTTACCATATTCCTCTAAAGTCTGTGTCAGTTCAGTGCTAGCATAGAAACCTTGGGTTGTGTCAGGGTAAGGAGGATATTATCAGCATATGCCGATACTTTGAATTGCTCCCTCCCACCGTTACCTGTGGATGTCTGGATAAGACCTGATTTTGTGAAGTAGGGGTTCTAGTGCTAAGATGAAAAGCAACGGGGACAATGGGCAACCCTGCCTAGTTACATTGCTCAAATTGGGAGCTCCCGCAATTCTGCGTACATTGCCCTGATGGTCGTGATATAAGGCTCTGGAAGTCCAGTTGTGACAGTACGGCATATAGGTATGGCCACCTGACCCTGTCGAACGCCTTTTTGGCATCTAGTGACAGGATCAGGGACGATTCTCTTATCGTATTTTGTCGCCAGATTCGTCTCGTGTTCTCAAAAAGCTGTCGCTCCGGGACGAAGCCCACTTAATCTGCATGGACCAGTGTCCGAAGCAGCGGTTCAGCCGTGTCTCCAATATTTTTGCTAAAACTTTGACATCATGGTTTAGTAAAGAGATGGGTCTATAGTTCCCGGGATCAGAATCGTCCCTTCCCAGTTTTGGGAGTAAGATGATGTTTGCTAAGGACATGTCGCTGTTCATCATGCTTGCCTCCATCAAGTTGTTAAACCAGGCCCTCGTGTGGGACCAACTGCTCCCTGAAAGTCTTAAAATAACTACCATCTAAGCCGTCGGGCCCTGGGGCTTTGCCCCTCTTCAGGGAAGTGATAGCTGCAATTCTAGAACATTTATTTTTATTATACATCATATACTACATGCTTATATCCATGTAGGGACAGTAGAACACTGGTTTTGCTCTATTTTCATTTTTCTTTTTTCAATTTGATCATTTTTATTGTTTTACATTTTTATAAAACTTGGGGTACAGAAAAGAAAGGGATATGTGGAAAGGAAAGTATCAAAAACAAAACGTTCCATGTCTTTTCAGATTACATTACATGAATCATACGTCATACATCATACATTATACATATGGTTCTGCACAAGTCTTTGGGCGCTTGAGTGTAAGGTGGCCGGCTTAGCGCAGGCTATATTATTGAGTTTGCCCTTTCTCATAAGGGTTCTCGTGGTCTTTAGGAGTACCACCTGTGCTAATGTTACTGCGTGTTATGTGTCGTTACTTCTGGGTTTCCCGTCTCCTAGCTCTTTGTTGGTCGTTCTTTTCCTGTGCTCTCTTTGTACCCACTCATGGTCATTGACCCACTGTTTGATCGCTTTGTCCTTTACCCTTTTACTCTTCCCACCTCTCACTAGCTAGGTCTATGTGTTTCCTTGGCCCAATGTGTTTATGTGCCATCTTTTCGTATTGCCAATTAATGTTTATTTGTTGTGTTAGGGCTTCCTTGGATGGAGTTTGTGGCGATTTCCACGCTCTAGCTATTAGGGTTACTGCTGATATTAAGAGGTGAAACAGCAGGGACTCCTCTATTTTGGTCACTGCGAGTGGTATCATAGTATGCATTGTTGTATGGTAAGTTGCCACTGCCTACCCAGTAGGTCACCTGCTATTTCCTCTACCATCTTCCAAAATTTCCTAATCTCCGTGCACGACCACCATATGTGGCTCATAGAGCCTCCGGTTACCCCGCATCTCCAGCATGTATTTGGAGAGTTTGGGTATATGCTGGCCAGGTGCTCGGGTACCATGTACCATCTATAATGTAGCTTCCTGATTTTTTTGAGATGTGTTGTACATCATGTATTGCCTTTGTGTATTTTAAATGCTCTTTGCCAATGCTCTTTGTCTATGACTTGTCCCAGTTCTTTGTGCCAAGCTGTTTGGAATGTAATGTCTGGATTTGTCTTGTCATCTGTGAGTATGTTGTAGATCGTGGAGATTGTTTTCTTAGGGGGTCTGTTAGGCATAATTGTTCTATTGAGTGTTTGTTGGGTGTCACCTGGTTATTTATTTGTACTCCTGTGAGCAACGGTTTCAGTTGTAGGTAGGAGAACAGAGCCTTGTTGGGGATGTCGTTTCGTGCTTGGAGGTCTGGGAAGGGCAACAGGTTGCCTTCATGGTACATGTGTTTGATCTTAGTGCAGCCCGCCTCGTTCCATTTTTGTGTGTCAAATGTTGGGATCCCTACTGCTATGCACAAAATTGGGGCGTCCCCTAGGAGTGTTCCTTCGTTCCCTTCCCGCTTGCGGATTTCGTCCCAGAGGTGGAGTGTTAGCTGTGTGGTCATTAGGGGGTGTACATGTTGGGGACGGAGTTGTTTCGGGAGCCACAGGAACTCCCTGAGAGATGGGCTATTTGTCCAGTGGGCCTCTATTTGGGTCCATTGTGGTGCTTCTCCTCCCGCCGTTGCTGTCTTGATTTCTGTTAATTGTGCTGCTCTATAATATGCTTGGATGTTTGGCAGTCCCAGACCACTGTTTATGGTTGGTATTTGTAGTGTTTATGTGGCCACCCTTGGTCTCTTGTTGGCCCATCTAAATCTGATTAGTGTTTTTTGGAATGAGGTCAGGTACGCGTTTGGCAGTTTTATGGGGAGGGTTCTCAGGATACAGGAGTTTCGGGAGCGTCATCATTTTTATCGCCGCAATCCTCCCCACCTATGACAGGTATTTCCCTTCCCATGTTCCCAGGGTGGCTTTTGTTTCCTTCATGAGTCTGTTGTAATTGAGGTCTAGTAGTTTTTCAGTGCGTGGTGGGATGCGGATGCCCAGGTAAGTTAAGTGGTCCACTCGCCAATCGAAGGGGAAGGCGTTTTTGAGTCTATTGAGTGTTTCCCCCGGTATCCCCAATCCCATTGCTTGTGTCTTTGTGACGTTTAATTTGTAGTAGGAGTGTTTTCCCGTGAAGGTGGCCATTAGGTTGGGGAGGGATATGTGGGGTTGTGTCAGGGTTAGAAGGATGTCGTCCGCGAATAAGCTCGCCTTGTATTCCCTATCCCCTATTTTTACCCCGTATATGGAGGAGTCTATTTTCATTTTTTAAATATATTTTAAGGCAAACTATAGCAACACCAGTTTAACCCCTTAAGGACACGTGACATGTCATAATTCCCTTTTATTCCAAAAGTTTGGTCCTTAAGGGGTTAAACAGTAAAAGATTTTAAAAATGCTATTTAACCTGATGGCATTCTAATGTTTTCAGATCAATTAGAACAGATGGCTAACCATTGGGAGTCCTGTATAGCTGTGAGTGTCACTTTAAATGTAGGGAAACTACATCTCAAACTACATCTCACTGAAGTGGTCTTGGTGCACTCCACAGTGCCTCACCAGAAAAGGTGCTTTCTGGACTTTCATGAAGTTTGAACTACGCTTTCTGATGTTTTACGAAATTTGACTCCATGAAACCACGCAGGACATCTTTAAGAACAGCAGTCTTGCCAAAAGTTAGCAAACTCTCTTTTAGCAGATGGCATTGCAAATAATGTTACATGGTGTCATACAGTTTTTGTAACACAGAATATTAATATAGTTCACATAGGTCACTTAAAGAGCCAGATCTTCAATAGTTTGAGTGGTCAAAATAGCAAAGTAATACCCCATCTTGTTTTCATATAATAATTTCTTTGTATTTGACTGTATAATTCACCTTACTCTTTATTTCTTTTTTCTTTATGCCATATGTTTTTCTTCTCAATGTGTAATTTTACCCATATGTCTATTTTGCTTAAGAAATCTTTTCAGTTCCTGTCTTTTATCCTTGAACATCTTTTTTCTTTTTTGGTGTTTGTATTAAGCCTGCCAAGCTTACTGTACTTCTAAATGTCCGATTCTCGCCAATGTTGGCATATTACAGCCTATTCAGTTTTGTTTAGAACTGTAAGCAGGGCTGGTGCAAGGATTTTTGCCGCCCTAAGCAAAAGTAAAGTTTGCCGCCCCCCCATGTGACATCACAATGCCCCACCCATATGATCTGCCATGTTAACTAACACCAGTGCTGCAGTGCCGCCGTGTTTACATTAAAAGGCCTGCAGGGACAGGCTATAGACACCAGTTGTCACTCTCTTCTCCCCTCCCCCTCCCCACTCTCATTCCCCCTTCCTCCCCCGTCAATTTCCCTCCCTGTCAATTTCTTTCTCCCCCCCCGTCAATTTCTTTCTCCCCCACCCTGTCAATTTCTTTCTCTCCCCCCCCTGTCAATTTCTTTCTCTCCCCTCCCCTACCTCTGTTGTAGCGTGGCCGAGCCCTGTGTGGTCCGCGGGTACAGGGAGCTTTTGTTTCCTGTACCCGGCTGGACTAAAAGCAAGTGCACACTCAGTGTTAGTCCGGCCGGGTACAGGAGACAGATGTTCCCTGTACCCGCGGCCCATACAGGGCTCGGCCACGCTACAGTGAGGGAGTGACAGGAGGGAGCGCTGAGCGCTTCCCTCCTGTCAGCCCCTCTCCTCATGCTGCGCCCGGGCGGAGCGCCCTCATGGACGCACCAGCCCAGGCAAAGCTGCAGCCGCCTGAGGCTCTCTGCAGAGCGCTCGGGCAGCTGCAGCATAAGGGGGGCTGGCGCTCCTGGTGGCGCCCCTTCCCAAGGGGCGCCCTAGGCGGCTGCCTAGTCCGCCTAACAGGTAGCGCCGGCCCTGACTGTAAGAATCCCAGCTCTCTTTTCCTATAATGCACATTTGTTTACTTTCCCACTCAATATCTTCACCCCATCTTTGATATCCATACTTTCCCCCCTTAAGAGGTGGGTTATAGTTTGTGTGATGGGATTTCAACATGGTTCAAAATTTATTAGGCCTGAAATCTCCATGTATACAAGTACAGGTGTTTGTTGTATCTGTTAGTTAGTTATATGTAGCTAAGACACTGCCATCAATGTACTGAGCATGTGCATCAACTGTAGTCACATTCCCATTTTAGGTGATCCTGAATATCCTGTCCACTGATTGATCTAAGGGTATGTGTGAGTGGAGCTATGAATGGGAGGAGTTATTGTTAATAAATAGCCTGTGCAAACTATGCTCTGGGCTCATACCTTTTGAACACAAGTTCAGTGTGAGACCTGATCGGTGTGTAAATAAAAGACCTGTTACTTCCTGAAGACTTGTGTCCATATCTCTATGTGTGGCTTCTGCGGTTTGTTCCTGTTATTCCTCCGGTAAAATTTTTGGTGCATTGGATCAGGGAACCTCATCGCACAGAAGCTGGCGCAGAGATTTGAGACGGTAAACTTTTTACCAACGTTCTCCACGGCTGCACCCCTGGACTTCTACTGCGTGGACCTCCCTTCGTCTCGGCGCCACTGGCCTGTTGTCCAGGAGATCATCGGCTTCTACGCAGTGAGTACCGGGGTGTCCCGTCGATGAGTGTGAACCCAGGTCCAGGAACTAAGAGGTAAGACTGATAACGTTAGAGCGGTAGGCCCACAAGGGGTTTTATATTTGGAACCGGTTATTGGATTGCCCCCTCCCTCTGGAGGGAAGAAGCGGAGGCGCACCGATTATCTGGAAATTAGACGCTCTGTAGTCAGCCCGTCTAATATAGGTGGTTTGGGTCAGGCTAAACCTTGGTGTAAATAGTTTATGCCGGACACCGGTGTCCTGTCTTGACTAGCGTGTCTAGGTGTAAATTTCGGTCGCTCGGTCGGGGAGGCCGGCGAGACTAAGCAGATTCTGGTGTACATTCCGTCTGCTAGCCCTCAACCTATCTTAGCTAAGTGTGCTCTGTTGTAAATTCAGCCACTAGACTATTGATAGAGTAGATAGACTAAATGGGTACTGTTGTAAATTCCGCCCACTAGTTCGCTATATGTGGTGCTTGGGCAGCGTAGACTAACCGAATCCTGGTGTAAATAGTTCGATAGTTCTCGAGGTACTGGCCAATTAGAGTAGTTGGGTTTGCTGTAAATGTTGTTAAATACGTTGTAATTGGTGAATTGGATGTCCTGCTAGAAAGCTTGAGCTCTGCCGTTTAGCAGACGTGTAAATTGTGTGTATAGTGTAAAATAGCGCACGGTACCATAACCACTGACATGTACCATAATCACTGACATGTACCATAACCACTGACTCGTACCATAACTACTGATATTACATGAAAAATACTAAAATTACTGTTTAACCTTGCATGTGTACTAACTGATATTGTAACTTTAAAACCATAATTGTCTAAACTGTACAATAGTTACTAACCGTACCATAACCACTGACTGTAGAGACAAAATTGTTGAAATGTTATGTGATCGGTTAGTTTATGTGGATTAATAGTGTGGATAATTGTATGGTTTCAATAATAGTTACATTGATAAGTGTATAGTCTTTGGTGGGTTTTTGATTTAATTTCGTATGCGACATCGTGATATTGTTGAGCGTGTGAGGATCCTGTGCGTGTGTACGTGTATGTTTGGGCCTAGTAACCGTGCCGCGTGGTGCTATTGCTAAGGTAACTGGTGTGACTGTTGAAACTGTTTGTATATTTGTACTGCTTTGAATCAGACGCTCTGTTGAAATCATGGGTGCTTCTGATTCACAAACGGTCCTTTTGTGGGCTATACGAGTAGTTTCTGTATACAGATTGTTGAAACACTGCTAAATGGATCAAGCTGTGCTAAGAGGAACAATGGAGTCCATGGTAGCCAGAACCTGTTTGTCCACTAAGGCCTTAATTCCACCTAGTTTGGACACCCCCCTTGCATTTGATATCCAACCCCCTACTCTTCCTCCCAAGCTAAAACTGGTGTAGCTGGTATTTGCACTCCTCCTGCTATATTGTCCCCGCCTACCCACATACCTGTCTCACATAATTAAAGTCTATCTGCTTCATTAGACTTTAGGAAGCACTCTAGGGCCACCTACTGGCTATCTTCGGGAGTTACATTGATTTACATTGTTTAAAATATTAATGACCGTTTAATCATTCTTAACTCTATACTGGCATACAACAGAGAGAAGTAGGACTGCTTACCCTATTTTAATATTTCTTGTCGTAAGGTTTTATTTTAGGTATAAATATATTAAAAGCCAAGTTTTATTGTTAGACCCATAAAGACTATTTTGATACAATTGCTTACCCTCTCTTGACACATTTTTATTTTTCAATCACCTAATGCTGACCAGTAAAATTAACTCACCCCCTTTCACCTACCTTACTACTCCCAGATTGGAACCTGTTACTAAACAACCCTATTGAAGTCCCATACTAACTCGACAAATGACTGATACCCTTTAATCCAGACATTTACAAATGCCTCTCCGGCTTACCCCTGGTCCACCACATATTGCCCGAATGATTAACT